TTCATTGCAGGCTGTAATAATCACTAAAAGTTTTAAATATGTTGCAACATCGTATTTTGGTGCATACCTGGATTACGGAGGTGTTTTGAAACGAAAATATTATTTGTTAAAAATGCTTCGTTTCTCCGCTATATGGCTTGTTGATTAATCTGTTGTTAGCAAATAAAGTTTTCACTGTGAGACCTTTGGTGTTTCTGATTTCTTATTGTTTTGCTTTAACTCATATTTATTTATGATATACTTTTTGAAGTTGTTTGATTTATGATGACTGTATTTATTTTATTTTATCATGCGTAGACGGTGAACACGAGTCTTATTCACCGTATCGTCAGTTCTTCATTGATTTCGATGTCGTAGTTTCCCCTGCCGATGGAGCAGGACAGAATTGTAAAGAAACGAACAGTCAGCACTGATCAACATGCAGGTTCAAATCGTACTTCCGGTTCCGCACCTGGTCGTCGTCAGTATCGCCTTATGAGCAAATTTACCCGAAGGCTGAATATCACAAGATTCATTGCTCCCGAATGCTGCGCCTCCAGTCACTTCAACAGCACGACTAAGAACTTCATGCTTACGCGACGACGTATCACTAGACCAGTGGGCATCTTCAGAAATGAAGTTTCGTCGAATCCGGTTTTTGCTTCCACTTCGACGTTCGATGACACCATTCAGACTGAGGAAGACTTACGCCACATTTTAACCATCGATCCTACCGCACCCGCGAAGAAGCCAAAATTAAAGTCACAACTTTCCCTGCCGCAAATTAATCCATCTATTTCGTCTTCCTCTGACCAGCCGGTGGCGAGCAGCGAAGCGAAGTAAGGATAAGGGATAATTTCTCTTTCCACCTCGTTGTGCTTAATGCTTAATTGTTTGTTTATTTATAATCTAATATTTTTGCCCAAGTGCACTTTCTTAATTAAATTTTGATTTATTCCTGTACTAGACAAAGTAATGCTTTTCACATATCTCTGTTGAAATGGTTAAGTGATTGATATGGGCAGTAATAACTTCTAGAAGCATTTTAAGTATTTCTGAACGGTATTAGCCAGCGGTTCGTGCTCGAAAGCTGTATTGGTCTTTAAATGAAATGGAGCCTTGGGCTGATATATGCGATTTTCTGGGCGCTGCATGCTTATATGAGGTCGTTCCTTGTTCATTTCCTTGAACCACGAGCTAAAAACATGGGATTCAGATTTTCAGAAGCTTATAGACGATATCCTATTTCTATATTTTCTTAGATATTATCCTTATCTTAACTTCAGGAGAACTCAGTCCTAGGGTGTGAAGATCATTCTAACATTAATGGCTGAAAGCAAATTAGACACTTCTGGGCGAAAAAGTTTTGGTCGAATCGGATTTGTATTTGGGAGATCCAAATGCTAAACAGTGACTGTTTTTCGTAACAGCATAACAGTAAATGCTCTTCTTTATCTATACCAATGGCGTCATCAGAATGAAAAGTTAAGGTAGTGCATGATGCAGTAGCACAAGTCATTAATTTCTTATAGCTGAATGACGTTTATAAGCTACTCGAGTATGGAAGGCAATTTTTTATAATAGATTATTGATTACACTTCAACTTTCACTTTTTTCAAAGATTCAGGACTAAATTCTTTCTTCTGAGTTTGCGCATCGTTGTTTGAATTATTTTCCATAAAATATTTGAAGGCGATCAAGGCACAGACTTTAAATTAAATTACAGAAATTGAATTTTAATAGATATACGTGTACAGCAAAGAAGATGCGACATTCAGTAAAACAGCTAAAGCGAAGAAGGGCTCCAGGGGAAGATGGTATAGCATTGGAACTCGTGGATCACTAAGTGAGGCATTGTCCAAGATATTAGCATGCATGTTGTGGGAAGAAACTGAAACTTTCAGACGTCTGGATTACCGCATTGGTGATTTTACTCCACATAAAAGAGAACAAAGAGGATCTGAAAAATTACAGTTTATTACTAGTCATCTGCAAGATCTTCATAAAGGTATTGCCGAACAAACTTTGACAAAAAAAACTTGACGCTGAGCAGTCCAAGTCCACAGAGCAAAGAGTGGATTTAGTGCGATGGATAATATTCGGGTTCTATAGTAAGTCATTTGGACTAGAAGAAAATTTAATCTTCCTCTCTGCCTGACATTGGTCGATTTCGAGAAGAGTTTCGACTGGCTATATATCCGTTCTGTAATAGATTCCTTGAGGAGCCGGGGAATCAAAAAAAAACATATAAGCATGATCGGCGTGATTTACAAAAAGGCACCTGTTTCTGTGGAGCTTTACGAAGGCACAAACAGATTGAAAATTCCAAGGTCATCTAGCAGAGAGGGGCAATATCACCGAAGTTATTCATCACAGCCTTAGAAGAAGTTTCTAAGAGGAGAAAATGCACATAAATGTTTAGTACTCAATGCCAGCATCACAGTAGGATGAAAATGAACCTGAAGAAGTTAGGTAGTAATTATGTGACCCCGTGACCTTTTGAAGTTAAACGTCTTAGGCTTGAAAAACTATATCTACCTGGGACAATGCATCTCTGTAACGGAGAATAGGCTCTGGGAAATTAACGGAAAAATGAAAATGGCATGGGGCACTTTTGGAAGACTTTAAATGTCCTTATCAGAGAATCTGCTCTTGTGCTTGAAAAGGAACGTTTTCGATGTATATGTGCTTACCGTGATGACCTATATGCGCGAAACTGAACCCTGAGCCCTAAAGTTATTCATAGATTACATACTGCGGTTATGCAGTATCGAAAGATATTAGTTGGGAACAAGAAGAAGGGGAATGAATAGGTAAGAGCACAAATGAGAATTTGTCATGTCACTGCTTGATTAAAACAGCTAAAGTGACATTGGGCAGGACGCGTTGCGACGAGAAACGACTATCGCTATATCGTGGAGAGTTTAAACTGGGTTATTAGCGACAGTACTGGTCCAATAGAGCATTTTTTGGTCAGACAAACAGGCGATCAAGCATAATCGAATATGTGTCTATCGGTAGGCTTATGTGTCAAAAATAAACTCCGTTATGCCATGAAACTGTTAGGTTTCAATAAGCCGGTAAGAATAATATTCGCCTATCACTTCTCCGGATTTAGAAGATGACGGTTTAAACAGCCAACAGTTCCGTGGTATTTTAGCTCTTGCAATCTATGGAGCCAAGAAATAAGAGGACTGCGCGTATTGATCTTGAAAATTAGTAGAAGACGATTTTGAAAAACTAGCAGTTTGTTAGGAAACCCATAATAACGAGGTCAATATTTGGTACAAATGC